TACTCTGAAAAGGACAGCTAGCTTTATGTTTGGCTCGATGTACGTACAGCGACCCAGGCTCGCGTTTCTTATGTTGGCTCGCAAGAAATATCACGAGTTCTAAGAAGTTAAGGCCTAGAATGTTTCCCAGAACAGTTGCGAGCGTACAACGATCAGAAATCGGGCAGGACGACTCGTCCTCAGTCGGTGTTTACGTGGCTGTCGAACGAGTGCCTCGACGAACGTCGCTTATACTGCGCGATTCTAGTCTTGTAGGGAATACAGTGCTCGCTCAACGCGTTTTCGATAATACGCGGATTTCCAATCAATTTACGTACTTAGCATATTCCTTCGTGTGAATTAAGTGCCGCTGCATACAAGAAGCTAGTGGACCGAATTCAAGTACACAACGAACAGCTCAGCTTGGGAGAAAAATCAAACAAGAAGCGTGTCTCTGCGAGCTACACAGCTACTGTTTCACGGTATGCGTATGCGTGAATAATATGATGTAGTTATACGTACACAATGGAATGATTAAGTTAATTGAAAATAGAGGAGAGCCTACGTGTAGTTAATTAGATCAATTACTGCAACAATTTTGTTTTATCGTATCCTAAGTTTATTTTTCTTGTAATAAGTTGTGTTATAGCCATGAAATAACAACAAATTAGGTTTTTCACTGTTGTTTCCCCGAGACATATACGTATTCTATCCTTTTCTGGAAAAACACGGTCTCTTAGTAAACAACTAAGTCTTTACACACGACCTACTTCGTTTGTTATTATTCTAACGACAATATACGACAATTGACACGCAGTGCAGATGATCAGACTTCAGTTTTCCGTAAAACCGGGGGATGGTTGCCAACTACGCGGACAGTCGACGTCTCTAAACCTACGCGTAGTTCGACAGAACACTGTATACATAGAGGGCGTCTGTTTTATCTCAATGCGAAATATCTTTTAAGGAAGTGATGTTAGGAAAAAAATGTTTTAACAAAAATTGTTTGGTATGGAGGGGGACGTTATGTGGTGTAAATATTTTTTTTGTACTTGGTATGATGGGGGAGATTTCAAAGTCAGTTACATTTTTCAAATGGCATGCTATATTTTTTTATATATAATATGATAGTGTACGTTAAGACGAGTTCAACGAGCTGCCAACAGTCCTTGGCGCAAAAGGGTTAAAGTACAGTCACTTACCGTCAGAATATGCCGGTGGTAGTAGTTTCAAGAAAGGTGCCCCACGAGTACCCCAAACCGGATGCCTTACGTTGTTGCAGGTACCGGAAAGCGTTCTGTACTTGCTCGGTGGACAAGGTTTCTCTGATTTGATTCTGCAAGGAACATCATCCGATTCTGGCTTATTTTGAAACCTGCAAAAATACAACGTTTGTTTATTAATTACTCTTCAAACGTACCAGAAGTTTCTTGAAAATATAATTCCCAACGTAGAACTCAATACTAATTATGTCAACAGAAATGGAACTTAAATTTATATCAATTTTATTAATATGAAAACTAATTTGAAGAAATTCAAATTCGAGTAAGGCAGAAAATCATTGCTTGGACTTCCATAAAAACTGAACCATCACACAGCTAGTAAGAGAAATGAATTTGTCACTTAAAGAAAATATTTAATCACATAAACTCAGTTTATTAGACAAATGCAATTTTTGTGATTGTTAATTTTGAAAAAATATTTAAATCCTTAGGAACCTTTTTTTAATGAACAAAATATTAGCAGTTGGAACAGTGTTTAAGGGTGTATTCTAGTCTAGAGTGTCATTTCTTAGTCCTTCTTAGGGATTTTTTTTTGCAAGGAAAGTATAAGCTTCTCAGTATTGGCATTTTGCATACATATTTATTCGTGTCTTAAGAAAGTTCACAATTTTTTTCAAGTGAAAATAATCAAAACTGTCTGAATTATATATCATTCAGTGCGGTCCCTTTAAAAAAAAGTGTCCTACTGGCTGACACGATCCCAAAAAGTTCACAATTTTTTTCAAGTGAAAATAATCAAAACTGTCTGAATTATATATCATTCAGTGCAGTCCCTTTAAAAAAAAGTGTCCTACTGGCTGACACGATCCCGCCCATTCTATTTATCCGAAATGAAAAAACCAAAAGGATTCTTGATTAGTACGAATGTGATTATGGTGTGAACCAGAATGAAAAAAAAATAGTGAAAATTTACAAAATGGCGGCACTTTGAATTTTGTGTATCGATTTTGTCGACTTTTTTTACGTCTTTCAGAGGCTCTAAAAATTAGAAAAATATATATTTTGGCATCATTCTGGTTCAGACGATAACGGAACATCCACTGAAGATGCATGTAAAATTTGGAGTCAATCGGACAGCTAGAACTTGAGATATCATCTCAGCCATTTAGAGAAACATGGTTTCGAGAAAAACGCGTTTAAAGTTTCTCATACCAGTTGCACGAGAATGGTATACTTACTACTACGGACTACGTGTCGTCTTTTTTAACCATCTATAACTTCGTCAATTTTACGAATTCGGAAAAATCCTTCGACAGTTACACTTCTGCAAATGTCTACTTTCAGAAAATGTAAAAAAATAAAATCGATTTTTTTGAAAAGTCCAGATTAGAATACCCCCTTAAGAAACTATTAAATTTTCTTAATATTTCATAGATCATCGTACACGGTGTTATAAATACACCCTATTATAAATGATATTAAAAAAAAAAACACGATACAATCACGAAGATTGCAATGCTCTTCGACTCGTCAACTAGCTACTAATAATACCACTTACACGAACTTACAAACTTGTACGATCTTCACCAGACAATGACTTAAATCCTCAATTAAGATCATTCTTTTTCTCTGTTTCTTTTACAAGTAATATTCGTATCCGTTAGAATGGTCACGTGCTGCAATAATTAGCAGTATCACGTGCTATCTGTTCGCATAGTAGTTAAGTCAGCTTCTCACTGTGCAACTTTTACGGGGCATGATAAATCACGCGTAATACTCGACCTGTTCGATCAGTTAGCGCAATGTAGATAATAGCTCGACAACTTTCTATCCTGCAAAGGAACGAACAGCGGAGGGAAGAGTTTGAAAGAAGAAGAAAAAAAGAGAAGAAATTGCAGAATAGATGGAAAAATGGAAGAAAAAACGTTTGCGATTTTTTCCTGTAGGAATTTATAATACAGCAACAACGAGGAAATATAATTCACGTATGAGTCATGTGAGCCATGTAAAATTTCTAACAATAAGAAGTTGTCTGCTGATGCATGTGCACGGCTATAAATCAAATTGCTTTCGCACAGTAAAGGATTGCGTGTTATGTACGTACAAATTGCTCTGCGGGAACAATATCTGAAGCTGTATCAGATGTACGGCGGTATTATCAATTAGAGGAACTACAGTCCCTTGGGAACAAAGGAGGATCGAAAAAATCCGATCTGCTTTTTAATTCCCTTTTACTTTTTTCAGAACCTACAGACGATTAATTTTTGCGAAATTGTATTGTAGTCATTTTGTTTGTTTGTTTTAATTGTTTACTTCTGTTGATTCGTAACGATAGGAAATTGTAAAAATGTTTTTCGACTTTATGAAGGTGTAACTTTCGCTCACGTGGCGATATTTTTGACGAATGATAGTAGAGTGTTCTTGTTTTTTAAATTTTTTTCTGCAAATTGTTCATTTGAAAGGATGGAAATTTCATATTTCAATGAGGCAGAACAGTTTTAGAAATGGGACAAAAAGTGAAACTGAGTTTGAGTAAAAATTGTTCAAATGTTAAACGATTTTTAGTTAATTTCAATTAGTTTAGAATGAAAAATGACATTTTTTCAAACAGAACACTGTATTTGAGGAAAGTTAAAATTTATCGAGTGCACAGGTATTTAATTGAAAATAAGTTATGGGGTTCGATTAAATTAATATTTTAATCTGAAGATTGTAAAATTCTTGAAAACTTAAGAGAGAAGATTAGGGTAATAATGGAAAAGTTGAAAGCAGAAGATTCATAAATTTATTTAGGCAATTTTTGCATTACCAAATATTAAAGAATTATTAGAAGTTACTATCAGCTTACACCAAAAATCCTTCAATTTCACGACTTAACTAAAATCAACATATCACCAAAAACGTGCAGAAGAACACCTATAAATGACCAACTACAAAATCTAAAAAACTGAAATTCAGAATTCAAAACGACCAAGAAACTCAACAATTTTCCCTCGAAGAATCCTCCGAAGAGAAAGTAAAGATCCATAAATACTCGGTCACATTCTGCCACCTACTTTTTTTCTTCCACAATCCTCCATCAAACTCTTCTCTGAACACACGACTCTATCACCCATCCTATAACCACGCTAATCGTCTATATCTCCGAAGCAGCTGTAGAAACCGAAAGTAACTGTAGAAGAAGCGACCCTGTCGAGCGCAATTAAACTGACCGTGGCGACTTTCTATCGATCGCGAAAGAAGAAGAAGAAAAAAAGAAGGAAGAACCAGCCGTGCAGCAGCGATGCGAGGCGAGAAACGATGAGCTCGTCGGAATGCTCGAGAGACAACAGGAAGGAAGGCCCCAGGCGAATGTTCGTTTCACGACGACGACGACGTCGTCGACGGTTCTCGTTGCTGGCCGTTCATTTCCTTCTGTTCTTCGTTCGATCGTCCCGCTTATGGCAGAGAGTGTACTCTTACTTACGGCCCCCAGTGTGGCGCGCGTCGACATACAACCGGCAACCTTCTCGAGGCTGAAGGAAAGGGGATAGCACCGGTAATGGTCGGGTGAGAAACCTTCCTCGTGGCTGAAATGCCGCCACGGAAGGACGCGCCGACACTCCTTTTCTCGGCCATGAAAGTAAAAGTCCGCTCGTGGCGGAGTTACCGCGAGAGAAGAAGAAAGAAAATGGAGCAGGAAGGACAGGCGGCGGATTGGCTGTGGGCTCTGTGCTTCGCGTCACGTCCATTTGCCGGACTTTTGCTCCTGCTTTTGCTTCCTTTTCATCGGCAATGCTTCCTTTCACACCTTTGTTGAAGTTCTTTTGCTTCTGGATTACGCGTGGAACGAATTGATGCGTCATGGGAACAAGAGCAACACGGTATAGTGTGTGGAAGAAATTTTTAGGTTAGGGAGGAATTTTAAGTTAGGTTCAAATTATTTGGTTGATAGGAAAATCCGTTTAATCGTTTCGTGATCGAATTATTCTTTTTCAAAAAATTTGGTATTTGGCTAGGGAAGAAGAGACACGGTATAGTGTGTGGAAGAAATTTTGAGGTTAGGGAGGAGTTTTAGGTTAGGTTCAAATTATTTGGTTGATTGGACAATTCGTTTAATCGTTTCGTGACCGAATTATTCTTTTTTAAAGATTTTGTTATTTATCTAGGGAAGAAGAGTGACACAGTATAGTGTGCGGAAGAAATTTTGAGGTTAGGGAGGAGTTTTAGGTTAGGTTCGAAATCGCTGGGTTGGCTGGGAAATTCGTTTAATCCTTTCGTGACTGAATTGTCTTTTTTTTTTTTTTAAGAATTTGTTATTTATCTCTAATCGATCCTAAATTGAGATCAATTTTTGTCCAAGTGCTCAAATGGGTCATAATATGTCTGCTTGGTTACGAAAGGGTTAAAATAAATTCCACGCCTTAAAGCAATAATTTTTTTATTTTGTCAGATATGTAAAATAAAACGCTCCAACTTCAAAACCATCTAACA